TAGTTTTATAATAAATTTAGATAATAATCTTATTTAATACCTATAAGCATCAATTTAAATACCCAATTAAGGCCCTGAAAAACATATCTAAAACTAAGTTCATAATTAAATTTGTCTTTGTAACAAATATAAAGCATTTATATTATATAAGCATTCATCTATATGAAGGGGTGCGGAAAAGTTCTCGGTCCATTCCCAAATCTGACCAAACATCACAATTTATTTTTGAATTCTTTTTTGGCTTTCTGAAAAACATTTCCGTACCCACTTGCATATGATTGTTGTATGATATTTATTATCTGGAAGCTAATTACAAAATATACTTACTTGAGTTAATTAATTTTCTATTTAAAAAAAAAAAAAAACAAAGAAACTAATAAACCATCATGGTTAAATCAGACTTGCAGGTTATTTTATTAAACTTAGTATCAAATAATAAATGTTCATAAATTAACAGGTACTATATTTTGATTTTAGGCAATCAAATTAAACTTATCAAAAACTATAATTTGAAAGAATATTTTAAAGTAATTCTTACTAATAGCTTTTGAATTTCTTAGATGAATCATTGTTGTTAACTTCAAACATTTTTGAGAAAATGTTAAGCATTAATATTTGTGTCTTTGTTTTATGTAATTTTGCTGATTTTTCATGCTACTCTCAGATTGTGCTTTTATGATCATTTTAGCAGAATGGATTAAGAAGAAACTTCCTGCAAAATTGGAATGTACAACCCTTATCCTTGGGAGCCTGTATTACCATGACACAGCTTTACAAAATAGGCTACACAAACTCATTCATTATTTCTAGCCCATACTGCTTAATTGTTGGTAATGCAATAGAAGATGAGAGAAAGAAAAGACAAAAATTAATCAAGATAATATTTAGTTAATTGAAAAGAGATTTTAATTATAGGTTAAGTAAATCAAGAATTTTATTTCCAAAAACTTTTTTTTTTTTACAACTCAAACCATTTTGAAGTTTACTGAGTTTACTTTCTATCCAAACTCAAAAATGGACAGGACTTGCGGCTTGGATGAGTTGTAGTTAGTGGTGTTTCTATTTACTTTCAGTTTTACTCTTATGCAGTCAGAGCAGCAAATGTTTATCCAGACCATGTTTAAATGATCAGGCTATTTACATTTTTATCTTAATAATTATTGAAAATATATTTTTCACTGGACAAATTCATATTTACCACTTCTTTGAGGAGACGGTGACAATGCTATTTTAGTAAGAAAAACAAAATGGGACTTTTTTCTCTCCCATAAATCAATCAGATATTGGCCGAAAAATTAGATAAAATCCCTTTTATTAAATAAAATTAAAAGTATTTTTTGCTTTTTCAAACATTTTTCTGTGACAAACATGACTGGATTTGAAAACTGAAAATGAAATCTCAAATTCAAGAAAAAAAGTTTTGTATTTCTTTCTCAAATTAACATACCTATAAACATATACAGTAAAAATTTAAATGAAATGTAAAGTTCTATTTTATTGATTTCTACAATTTTAAAAAGAAACTTTTCAAAATTTAATGCTCATGAAGACTGCATTTCTATAATATTTAAAAATGTTAATTCAAATAAATAATAAATTCTAAGGGAAAAACATAGTTGTGAAAAATGAAATGTAGATTACACAGATTTTGAAAAATATGAACAAGTGAAAATAATGTTTCTTGAAATAAATTTTTTTTATTGTTTAGGTTACATTATAAGAATCCCTTTGTTACATGGAATGAGGTATGCCTTCATGATATGTTGAGACATGTTCAAAGATTTCTGAAGTGTTTGTGTTCAAAGAGAATTACATGAAATCAATGCAGAATTGCTGGGTTTGTTATGATTAAAATTCACAGTCAAGTGACAGTATTTTGATTATTGAATAATTCAGTCAATGAAAAGTGTGCCTTTTAGTGTCATAGGTCAGAGATTGTAAAGATATTAAGGGAGATAGGTCCCTTGGGAGTGTATGAGATGTAGTGCTGTAGGAAGTGATCAAGATTTAGGAAGCAAAAGAAAAATCAATATAAGTGCAAATTATGCATATTATATGTACAAGAATATTTATCAGATTGCTTTAAAAATATTGATTAGCTACAAGATTTTGGATTAATAGAACATGTTAATTTTATATTCACTCAAAGTTTTATTATTTCTAAGATTGTTTTTCAATCCAGTGAACAGTTTAGAAATACAAACTCGATATAAAGAGTGATTAAAATTAATTAATCATATCATCATGAAATAGAATTAATTTCTTTTAATTTAAAATGTTTTGCTTCACCTCATTTTTTTGATCACAAGAAGGAAAACAAAAAAGTTGAGATAATGTAAAAAAAATAAAAAAACTCTTAATGTGATTATCATAGTTACAGTTTAAAAACAAAATCATTTTAGATAACAAACTCATAATTTGTTCAAAACAAAACAGAAAATGGCTTTCTCCAGACAATTTACAAAGTTGCTACCTAATTTTGGGATGATTCTTACATTTCTTTAATAAAATTTAAAAGTTAAACTGTTGAGTATCTTTAATGCTTCATTCAAAACATAAGTTTGAAAAAGTGTGAAGAAAAAATGTAAAATTTTAAATATTCATGTCCTATAATCCTGCTAGGTTTTCAAGATGGAAGCAACATTTCATTGTGGATGAAGCAGAGAAAGAAAAGAAATATGATAGAAACAGATAATATCATAAGGATGGTGAATGAAAAGTTGCAAATAAGTTTTATTGTTTCATATTAAATTTATCTTGAAAAGATATGAACAAATTTCATTGAAAAAATTTAGTAACATGTTAGTATATCATCAACAAAGAAAAACATTTTTTTCTCCATGCAATTCAACAGAGGAATCAATCCATAGCAAACTTTATTTGAATCATAACCAACAAAATATTACCTGGAGGAAATCAATTTTTATCATCAATGCATTCAAAATAAATTCAACACTTTTCACATGAAATTAATTATAGGAACAAAATGTCAACTTAAAAAAAAAAAAAAAATCAATCAACTTTAACCTAAAATATTTACAACAATTAGAAATGAAAACTCAATAATCTTGAATGACTGCAGGGTTAATTTTAGATACTGTTTCAAGTTACAGTTCAAAAACTTTCCAGCATTTGAGGTGCAAAAATGTTCTCAAGTCCAACCCTCTTCCTGAAATCTGACCAAATATCAGAATAGGAGAGAGGAATTCATTCTTGGTTAGACCATGATTTTTTCAGCATGCTCTTGTAAAAGATAATTTTTAAAATATCTAGGTTTATTATGGTCAGGTGACCCAGAGAAGATATGTTAAATTATATTTGCATTAAAAGAAGCAATCTGGGTTACACAATTGCTTCCTCTTTGAACAGTAAACATAATTCTGAGAAATTAAGACACCTTAACATACTGTTATTAATACTGAATTTAGTCAATGACAGATTATGAACATAACTTTGTTGTGACATAACTATTTGGAAGTGGAAATACTGTGAAAGATTATCATTGATTTGATTTGATTAGTTTAAAAAGAATAAAATTTGAATGAGAGCAAATGTTCAAAACAACATTTATAAAATCTGACTGGGTCTTAATAAAGATTATTAACATACTATATAGAATAGTTCTAGTGTGACTTTTGTAAAATATTGAAAGAGAATATACATCCAGATTTAAATCAGACTTTTCTTTTAACATCAACAGACACAAATGAGAACTAATTTGATCAGATCTAAAAGAATATTTAACTTTTTGTTTCCAAAAAAGATGTTAAAATTTATATTATTTATTCTTCTTTAAATACACTTAGCAAAGGAAATATTAAACTACAAAACTAATTTAATGTGCATGACTGTTTTATTAGATCAGACTCAATTCTGTAACATAAAACACAATGTAACTTTATATACTTATTAGTTACACAACTTGATCTCCTTTGCTATTTTTAGATATTCTGTTATGGTAACAGGAGCTATTACTTGATACCAATAAGTAAATATTACCATAAAAACGGAATATCTCATTATCATGTTGTGAGAACATTTTGCTAATGCACCATCTTTTGTGTCTTTTACTTTATTAACTTTGTTTGGATATTTTTATTTTAATGATGCTAAAAGTAAAATTTTTTCTTATATGTAATAATTGAGTTAATTATATATATATATATATATATATAGATAGATAGATAGATAGATAGATAGATAGATAGATAGATAGATAGATAGATAGATAGATAGATAGATAGATAGATAGATAGATAGATAGATAAAACTCATAAAAATATCTCACAAAGAAAATATAACCAAACAATTGCAAAATTGCTTAAGTACCACCTTAAGTAGCACTGTTGTTTTTGGATGAATAAACTCACATTTATTTTCTGTCCAATATACTGAAGTTATTAGAAACATTATCTTTGACATTGCAAATCTACAGCTTATTCAGACAAAATAATTAAGAGAGAGAGTTAATTGCTTGAATGATGCAATAAAACAAATCATTGTCTACATGATATTTCAGTGCTTTCACCTTGTTTATAATGAAGTGGATAAAAATTGAGTAATGATGTTATCTTACATTCAAGAATTAAAGTGGAGACCAAGCCCAGATATAAATGTAAAAAATGAAAGATTGCTGATGAATTTACATTTAAAGAGAAATGATTACTATTTGAGGACATTAACAAATAAAAATAATTTAAACTATTTTCATTTGTATAGTGAATAAGACATTACAAGTTGTGAGTGTTTAAGAATAAAATAAAATCATCAAAAAGTCTTTGACAGCTTCAACTAAAATTTTAAAAATATGACCAATTATATAAAAAAATAGACAATATAAAAGAACAATTTATGCAGATTTTCTTTTAAAATGTTTTGAGATTTGAGGGAAAAATTACAAATGAACACAAAAATATTAAAGAATTTTAGATGTAAGTAGCTTTACTTTATCAAATGTAAGACTTTTGCAAGCAAATATTTCCTGAGGATGGAGAACTTACCACAATGGAATGTATTACACCAAGACGAGCACATGCCAACATGGCCACCACTAATTCAGTGATCATAGGCATATAAATAGCCACACGATCACCTTTCTGGATACCTACAAAGAAATAGTAAATAAAGAATATAAAACAATTCAATATATATTGTTACAAAACATACCTGTTACTGTTTAATACTCATGTATTGTCCACCATTTATTATTAATCAGATGTGAATATGGGTAGATGAAAAAATTCATAATTTATTGTTTACATGTCTCTGTTAAAGGATTGTGTAATGTATATGTCTTGAGGTCAGAATTTATGAAAGTTAATTATTGAAAATTTTACATTGTGATTGATTGGTTTGGTTTTTTTGATTTACGGCATATCAACACCTCAATGGGTCATTTAATACAGACAACTTTTTTTTTTGTTGGTAATATTTTTGTTTTGTCAAAAATCTATTTCTGTTAATATTTTTTTCCTCAAAAATGTATAGCTGGTAATATTTTTTCAAAAACATTATCAGAGGCCTTGCTCTTGGATGTAGTTTATCGTCTTAGCCAGGATGCGGATGTAATCTGAGTGTTAATTATTTGCCCATAGCTGGGACCCTAACAGGTGCTACCACCTCAGGTCAGGGTGCACCTGGGAACACCAGCAATTAAGAGGTGGTTCCACGCTCCTCAAAACCTCCTGATCAAAGGCCTTGCTATTGGATGTAGTTTATCATCTTACCCAAGATGCGGATGTAGTTTATAGTCATTCCCAGGATGCCCATTGTGATTGAATGGAGAGTAATATATCTTAATATGAAATAAGAACTTGGTTTTTAAAAGTTAATTTAATATATTGTTTCTGTGTACTTTCATAATATATTCAATATTGTAGCTTGACCAAAGAGGGACACAGAGAGTATGTTGAAGGACAGGTCTCATGTTTGGTGACAGAATATGGTTAAATATATACATGACCCCCTCACTTGTGACCAAGTAAGTACATGTCATGTTGATGTGGCTTTGACTACAGAATGCATATAAAATGACCAGTAAGCATTTCTGAGGAGAAAGGAAATATTTTGAGCAAGGTTATTATTCCCTGTCTTGAGTGTTCAGTGCTTTGTGCAGAGTGTAAGTAAGAGTTACAATACAATTGAAATAAACTTTGTTCTTTGTTTGAGCTCTCTTTCTCTCACGATCTATGTCTGATTAAAGCAAGAGTGTTCACTTACAAAACATCAAGTCTCATTTTATTTTTCTACTAACCATTTGTTAACTTTCTGGCCATTATACAATATGTTTATACTAAATTTAGTACTATGGTTGATTAGTCCAATGCAGGACAGATAGATCTATCCCCAACAGCTACAGGAGAAGGGTTGGTCTGGGATTCTTGCTGTGATGGCATAGTTGATATGGTTTTTGTTCATTAATGTTGTGTTCATTCTTGGAATAGATTGATTGTTTAGTGATCAGCCACCAGTGAACCTGCAACACACATGGACAGCCTAGCCCAGTGTCCTTTCTAGATCATTGCCCACAAAGTTAAGCCAAGAAGAAGTACTATGGCCTATGGCATGCAACCATTAAACTCATTCAATCCATATCCGATTTGTCAGCATTTAAAGTAGTGAAACTTATTTTCTTGCATGTGGTTTTACAGTAACAAGTAATTTTCATAATTATTTAACATAATAAAAAAAGTACAGTAAACAAAGTAAAGTGCATATTATAAAAATATAATGAGAATTTTGCATCATTTCATTACCTCTAAAGAAACAAAACACACAAACATTAAAAAATACTGCAATACAATGTGCATTTCTGTCTTATCAAAAGATTGTGATTCTGTGCCAATTTAACACCAAACATTCAGAAACATTGCAGCAAAACATGAAATTTCTAATTTTTTGTGCTTATTTGGAAGCCAATTAAGCTGAAGAGTAATTAAAATATTATGAATTCTAAATTCAATTCAGCCACAAAAGTTTCATGATTTTGCTGTTCACAATTAAAAAGTAAAAGTTAAAGACAAAAATACATTGTCTAAGACGAGAATAAAAAAAGAAAGAAGAAAACAAAAAGAGCCAAAAATGATTACCTAAATTTTTTAATACATTGGCAAATTTGCATACTTCTGTCTTTAATTCCTGGAAAGTAATTTTCCCAGTGTCTGTTGGATCATTCCCTTCCCTAGAAAAAGAAAAAAATCTCTATCAGCATAAAAACAAAGGAACATTTTAAAAATTGTAATTGTTGCAAGTATTCATCAAATTATCCCTGAAAATAAAGCAATAAAACCTGATTATTAACTTTGAATTAAAAAATAATATAGATGCATTGGTAAAATTTTGTTAAGAAAAAAAAGCAATAGAGAATTGTGACAAAAAAAGAAAAAATTGTTTAAAATGCTGAAATTGTAAAATTTTGTGATTTCTGAATGTATTCCTCAAACTTGTTATAAAACATTAAATATTAATGGATGGTTCTTTTCTAAACAAAGAACAGGGACTAAAGTTCTCATTTTTTTCTTTTATCACAATGGTTCTGCCACTGTGTTCTCTAGCTTTCTTCAGGCATTTGTTACTCCAAGTAACCTTCAGTGAAGTTTGAACTGAACCTTTTAATTAATCTATGGGGGCTAGAGTGTTCTCATTCCACTGTACATGTATAGAAATATCTTGTCTAGTTCTTATCTAGTACTGCTCACTTATTGATCGCTCTGTTTCAACTCAGTCTAAGTCTGTATTACTTAGCTCAAGAATTAAACTCGCAGTTACTAAGTCACCAAATTTCCAAACCAACACTAAGACAATTCTGAATGTAGAACACATAGTCTAATCTGCCTGTTGCCGATTCTGCTGCTGTTATGCTTGACTGCATTCACTGCAACTTCCCTATTCTTACTGCTGCTGTTGTTTCTTTATTAATGGCATGAAATTCCAACAGGGTTACATGGACTGACAAGAACCTGAAGAAGGCTAAGAGCACAATGGTCAAAATGTTGTGATAAAAAACAACAAAGATGAAGACAATAGTCCAAATGTAAATAATAATAACTAGAAATACAGACATAAAAAAGATGAAATTGGAAAGCTGATTTAATAATATGTATTTCAAATATTGTTCAGATTTTGTTATGTATTAACAAGCCAAAAGTAATCGGACATATAAAGGTACTCTATTCTGTTATCATGGAAATATCCAGACTTATCAGTTATGTTCCAACATTTGGAACATCTCAAAAAAAGCTCCTTATTTTGAACACCTATTGGGACTCAAGATCTCCCCTGACCTAAAGTGAAATATGATCCATCTCTAAAGATGCTGAAAAGAAAAAAAATGATCAGCTCCTTCTACTATTCCAGAAAGGACTTGACTTCTCCTGCCATACTCTATCTTTACAAGAGTTAGACCACAAAAATTGAGTATTGCTGCCATATTTGAGCTGAAGCTGCCCAATCTTTTCTTTTCAACCTCAACATTGTTCAAAAGCATTTATACAGCCTTGTAGATGAATTATTTTCCACCCTTCAAGTCAGATGCAATGTCAGAAACATATTGCTATATCCATGGAAAAGGTTTTGACTAGATACATTCCTTAGTTCCACCAGTTCAGAACTTTAAAGATCCTCTATGTTGGATATCAGTTGAGGAAGACCTTTGACCTCACTTTTGCTGCATCAGAGAGTGATTGAAAATCAGAATGGGTGATAACATAAACAGGAAATTGCTAAAATAAACAGGATGCACAGTTGTCCTGAGCCTTGAATAAGCAGGGCACAAAGGTGTCCTGAGTGGAAGAAAATGCGTGCAGAAGATGCATGGCCATAAGAAATTGCATAGACAGCATACCAGAAAAAGGTGTAGACATGTGAAGTTGTGTGGGTGTTCAAATGTTATAAAAATGGTCCAACTCTTGGTCTGAGAGAGAGGCTGGCTAGAGTTTCACTGAAGATTTTGTCTGCCAATTCCTGTGTGCAAAATCCTAACCCCTGTGATTCTCCCTCACTCTACCCAATTGCTGTAACTCGAACAATTAAGCTATTTATATATTTTTATACATAAGGGTTTGTTGCCTTATTTGAGTCCAGCAGCAATATACAACACTCTATACACAGGGGCAAACCATCCTTATCCTCTTTGTATTCCAATTGTAAGAAGGAAGTCCTATTCAGACAGTTTCTCCACAAAGAGCTGCTACTTTTAGAACAGACTAAATGATGTTTCTTTGAACAATATCATCTTAACCTCTTCAAGTCCAGAGTCAGCCATTATCTATTTTAATCTGCATTTCTTACCATCTCTTATGTCTATAAAATAACCTCATTCAGTAACCCTCTACCATGAGTGATTATTGAGCCTTGTATTGGGTGAACAACAGCATAAAAAATAAAAGTCAGTCTGTATACCAGGTAGGGCTGCCCAGAGAAAAGCAATGTGAATTTTAGCTGGGTGCAAAAGGGAGGAGACATTTGACATATTTTTTGTTCTATGGTGTCATGTGTGTACCTGATAGAAAGCATTATCAATCACCATAGATAGCATGGAATCTTAATGAGTGTGACCAGAATCATCTGGTTGCAACAAACAAGCAATACTGGCTCAAATTACACTGACCTTCAATGCAAGAGATTAGCAGACACATATCCAGCAGATCTGTTCAGTGCTCTTTAGCTACCCTGGGGATATAGGAGCAGAAAACACATCTGGGTGTCCTTGTCAATATCATGATACAGATGATATTCATGATGGACCCTAGAAGACTGGCAATGTAACATGGTCTGTTGAGACACAGTTGTTTCAGTTTTGTGCCAACTGGTGGTGGTTTCCATAATGGTGGGAGGTCTAGTCATGTAGCATGGATTGAGTCTGTTGGCCCACCTAAACACTTCATAACCATTTGCATCCATTCATTGATTTCATGTTTCCTAACAATGATGGGTTATATCAGTGTGCTGTTGTCATCAGGCCTAAGTTGCCCAGAATTGGGTTGAGAAGCAGTCTGGAGACTTCCAACAAATGGTGTGGCCACCACATTCAACTGACATGAGCCCAATCAAGCATTTCTGGAACATGGAGAGATCTATTTGCTTGTAAGATCCCACACCTACAAATATCGGGTATCTGTAGACAGCTATCAAGATGACATGACTTTACACAATACTAAGACACCTATCCCATGTTAGAGTATTTGTTTTTTCAGCCCCATCAATTTAATATATTTGCTAATATATTAAATTAGTTTTTACAAGTATACATAATGAAACATTATTACTTTCTATCAATGTGCACTTGTGCATTTAAATGGTTTGGAGTTGTGAAGTACATATCTTGCAGAAGCACAGCAACACTAATGCCAAAAGTGGTTGATATCAGATTTGAAACTGTGACCCAAGCTTCAAAGTCCATGATCTTACATTTGAGTCATTACCTTAATTTCACTTGAAAAGTTGGTCAAAAATATATTTCAAAGTAGGTAAAAAAAGATAATCTGATACACTGATTGATCAAAATCCTTTATGAAATTGAAAAACTTGTTATTGAATCCAAGAAGAAGTTAAGCTATTTTTAAAAGGCCAGCCTCAATGTCAAGTGATGTTTTATTCTTTAGCTTTTTTATAGCTTTCTTAACACAGGTTTTGTAATGTTTGGATATATGCTGGTGTATATTCTAATTCTGTGGGCATTTTCTGCTTAGTGTGGTCATGGTTGAAATGTGACTCAAACATGTCATCTATGCTGTTTAGTGCCATTAATTTGATTTCCAATTTCCTGAAGATATTGCCTTCTCAGAGCATTGGATCAATAGCTGCATCTACTGCAAGGAAAGTTGGGTGACTGCATTGTGCCAGAAAGTTTTTCTCATCAGAGTCTATCTTGTTCATTTACAAATCTACTATTCATCCGTGCATTGAATACTGTTGCCATATCTGGTCAGGTGCTCCTGCTATTCATCTTGAGATCCTTGACAAAATCCAAAGAAGGATCTGCATTGTAATTGATCTTGACTTGGGATCTTGACTTTAGTAACTTTCTCGCCGACATGATATGGCTTCACTCTGTCTTTTCTATAAATATTTTCATGGCTACTGCTCTGACAAGATTTTTTCCCTGGTGCCTTGACTAAATTGGCATTTAGGTCCCACCCTTTTACTGTTGAATTAGGTAAATGTAACTGCCACTTCTACTCCAACAGTTTATTTTCTTGCACTTCCCGCCTGTGGAACTCCCTTCCGTTTCCTTGCTTCTCTGATAACTACAATCTTCAAAAATTTAAATGAAACATCAATTGCCATTTCTATCTTGAACCCTGTTGAATTTTTATTCTTACCTCATTCCCCTCTATACCCAGTCTTTTTTCACTCTTTCATTCTCTTTAACCCCCTGAATACTTGTGGCATTCCAGCCTTGTTTGGGGTGAAATGATTAAAAAAAAAAACATTTTAAAAAAAATTTTGTTGTTTGTTTTGTTTGTTTAATGGCATATCAACTCCTTATGGATCATTTAAATGCTGAAATTTAATTTTCCTGGGAACATTAGTAATTTCTTTTACAAAAAGGTATTGTTGGTATTTTTTTTTTTAGAAAAATGAATTGCTGGTAATATTTTTTTTTCCTTACAAAAATGTATGGCTGGTAATATTTTTTTGTTTCTAAAAATGTATTGATGGTAATATTAAAAAAAAAAATTATTTACGAAAACATACAGCTGGTAATTTTTTTTTACCATGAAAATATATTGCTGGCATCTTCACTATAAAAATGTATTTCTATACTTTTATAGTGTTTTGACCCCAAGTTGGGGGTTCACTATTTGCCCATAGCTGGAACCTGAACAGATGCTACCACCGCAGGTCAGAGTGGACCTGGGAACAACACCAATTAAGAGGTGGTTGCACATTCCTCAAAACCTTCCAATCAGAGGCTTTGCTGCCAAATGTAGTTTATCATAATATCCAGGACAACACTTTGTTAATTGTTTAGTATTATGTCTTCTATTATTTTCTTCTGTTTGAGTTTTCTATTAATGTTTTTCAAATGAGGATTATTCATCCCATGTGAGGATCTTGTTGCGGTATATTAATATATATACCCATTTGTAGATGTCTGTTTATTAACATGACCACACAATTTATATTTAACTCAAAATACCACAAAATATGAAACACAAGAAGGAACAAAAACGGTTT